GATGAGGGCAATGAATGTACAAATGCGCTTTACACAATTGATGTATGTGTGGATTGTGATAAGAGTTGTATGAGCCCCTAATAAAATGATTAAAAAAAACCAAAACGATATCTACAGGTAACATTCAGTAACCTTGGTGGTTCTCTATGCTGTCAGCCTTCTTGTTAGGTCTGCCCCAGTTCTTCTGTGCCTTCCCCTAGCCTCACTGCCCCACCACCTTCCCTTCTGTGCCTCAGAGGCCTGGCTGGCCATGATGTCATCCTTTTTAACAAAGGGTATTTACGTTTTACTTTTCACCCAACCCCACAAATCCTGGAGCCAGTCTGGAGTCTAGATTTGAAAACGTCCTTGGTCAGGTCACTTAAGGATTTTTTTTTTAATGTTTGAACTGCGATAAAAATAGAATTGAGCCCCCTTTTAAAAGCACTCATGGAGCCAGTCTGGAGTCTAGATTTGAAAACGTCCTTGGTCAGGTCACTTAAGGTTTTTTTTTTTAATGTTTGAACTGCGATAAAAATAGAATTGAGCCCCCTTTTAAAAGCACTCATTGGACCTTTTGCCAGTGACCCACTGAACCGTCAAAAGGGGCAGATTAAAAAACACCAATTTTGGGTGAAGCGGCAAACATCTCATGTTGTTCAGCTTCAGTCAATGATGTGACAAAAGGGCCCACCTTGGGACTAAAACCAGAGTGTGCTCCAGGTGGAGAGGTTTTGAGTTGGGTGGGGGGGAAAGAAAAAAAATCAATGGGGGGAATTTATAAGTGGCCTATAAGCAATCATAAAACTTAAAAGTGGAATAAATAATAAAGCTGACTGTCATGTCACAGAAAATAAAAATATATAATTGAGTCCCATCATCATCCGCAGTATCGTCATTGTCATGGAATATGACTGCTTTCTGTTCCCACGGGTAGATCGTCCACTGATCCAGACACTGCCCAGGCTGCTTGAGATGGTTTGTGTCCTCCAGCATGCCTACTCCCAGAGGGCTGTGCCTGGCCTGTGTTAGAGGCGCCTCTTGTGCCACCAACCCACATAGGCATGAGTGAGGACACCAGTGATGATGTTTCGTTTCTTTCTAGGCCTGCGGGGAGTTGAGGCAGGAGCACGGACTTGGGCAGTGGCTGGGCCCACTGGGAGGCCAGTGGCAACACTTCTGGGCACTTCTCTTCCCTTGGGGCTGCAGGGAGTCACCAGGAGAAGGATGTCAGGCTGTGTGCCCTGTGGCGGCTCAGGCACAGCTCCTCCTCTCCCCTTGCCTCTAGTTCAGGCCTTGCCTCGCTCTCTGGACCACAGAGGTGGCAGCACCTACCCAAATGCAAAGAACACTGAAACCCCCCCCCCCCTACGGGCCCTCCCTTCAGGTGTTGCTCCCCCTCTTCCACAGGAAGCGGAGAACACCCTGCGTCTGATGCAGAGCAAGCTGAAGGAGGAGGAAAAGCGGCTGCTCAAGAGTGGAAGTAAGGCTGCGCGGGGTGGAGGTGTTCATTCCAGACAGCATGTCAGTCTGAAAACTGGAGCTGGACACACACAGTATGTCTACATGTGTCTGTGTCTACTGAGGGGCCTGCAGAAAGTTCATGAACATGGGAGGAAACGATAAGAGACTTTGCCACAAGCTTTTTGATGCTCCCGTGAATATCTATAGACCCATAAACCCATTGCTGCCAACTCTGATTCATAGCCACCACGTAGGACAGAGTAGAACTGCCCTTTAGGGTTTCCAAAGCTGTAACCTGGCTGAAAGCACACAGCCACATCTTTCTCCTTCAGAGTAGTTGGTGGGTTTGAACCGTCAACCTTTTGGTTAGCCGCTGAGTGATTAACCATTGTGCTCTCCAGTTCCCTTATATGTATGCAGACTCACTGCTCTGTGGGTCCAATCTGACTCATAGCAACCTTATATGAATACATATCTGCATTTCTACATATTTTACTATTTTAAAATATATATACACAGGTATGCATGAAGAGGCTTCAATAATTTGTGGGGAAGTTCCATTATATATATATATGTATGTATGTATGTATGTATGTAATTTATTTATATATATAGGCTTTAAAAATGGCTTGGAATGAACAGCTAATGGACTTTTTATATATATATATAAATAAATTACATACACAGAGCACTGTGAAGCCCTGTAAGAGAGCATTTGGTCTCTGGAGGTTTGCAGGGTTTCTTATTTTGGGTTGGGCAGATGGGAGCAGGAGTTGTCGTGGAGTGCAGTGGAAGGGGCCATCGTCCCCGCCTCCACGTGTCCTCCACAGTCCAGGCTTGTTCAGCCGTCTGTCCCTGTGCCCTCCCTCAGACCCAGTGTCGGGAAGGAGCAGTACTCCCACCACGGGCGTCAGGTCACTGTGGGGCTGCACCTCACCCTTCTTGTTTGCTCCTCTGTGCTCACCTCCTGGTTGAGGAGAGGAGGCCTGGAGTGTCAGACTTCTCCTGCTGTCCTTCCCTGTGACTCTGCCTTCTCCTCTTCTGTGACCCTTTCCTCCTCTTAGAACTCAGAGAGAAGGTAGTCACAGGAAGAGCTTCTAGGTCAAGCTCAGAAACTTGAAGACCCTTTCTAGCCAAAGCAGCCCTGAAGTCCATAGACCCAGGTCGGCAGGAGAGCCCCAGATTATGTGAAATGATGAGCCTGCATGGGGGTTACGGTCCCCTCCCCCAGGAGGGTTGCCTACCCCTGACCTGCACAGGGAAGGTCCTGCTGCTGCTTTGCGTCCACTCCCTGCCCGCCCCTCCCCGCCCAGCCAGTGTATTGGGTCTTTGCTGCTGATCTTCCTCCTGAGCTCAATTGTGATGTAGGGACCATAGCTCTGGGAAGCACATTGGTTCTCCTGAAGGACAGATTCTCACAAGCACGGGTAATCTCACTTTCTGAGAAAAATAATTTCCAGTGTAAGCCAAGGCGTAGAGCTGCTTCAAGTGGGTCCAGTCCTGGCTGACCCATCGAAACAGGGACAGACTCGACTTTGCTAAACAGTGAGGACTTGACCCTGATGGGGAAGATGAGGGGTCGCAGCGCTGGAGGGGGACCTCAGGCTGCCGTCTTTCTGGCAGTGTTAGCTACAATATTAGGTTGCCAGCCATCATGCAGGCTGCCCCCTTTCCTAAGAGGGAGGTTAAATTTCTAGCAGCACTTGAGCCCGAAATGTTTCCTTTTCCAGTATACCCACATTTTACAAATTGGGGGCCAGTCTTGTTTTGGACCGTTGGCGGAGACTGAGCCAGGAAGACCTGGCTTGGAGTCCTGGGTCAAGCTGCCCTCGGGAAGGATCACGCGTATCAGCTTGGTGGGGCAGAGAGGGAAAGAGAACACTCACTGCAGCCACCCTTCCCCCACTTGTTCACGCTGAACTTTCCTTACTTGACCTCCTGCTCGTGTGGGGCCGTTGTGCAGAACACGGTGGCAGGGAGGAGGGCTCTAACCGCAGGTGAGCAGCGAAGTCTTCATCTTCCCTGGAGGAGGACCATCTGAGAGCCGGCAGACGGGCAGAGGGCGAGAGTGGGAGGAACGCAAAAGCTGGCAGGGGTCATCCTGCTCTGAGACAGCTCCCCCAGTGCTGACCATTTCTAGCAGAGCTGGGCTTCTCTGAGAGGAGACTGGTCATCTCGTCATCTGTCGGGAGAGGAAAGACGCTCTGTGGGAAGCAAGCAGGCCCGGGACTTAGAGCGGGGGTGGCCTCATTCAGGGAGGATGCTGGCTCCAGGGAAGGAAAGTCCGAGGAGGGCTGGAACCAGAGCTCCTGTGGGATTTGTCAGGCTGGGTGCTTGGGGTTGGGCTCTTGAGGAAGAAAGGGTAAATGTGAGCAGTCGTGAGGAAGGAGAGGATGGTGTCTTTGGGGACGGGAGCTTTGTTCTGACACCTGCGAGAGCAGCCCAGGGCCTGCCTATCTCTTCCCCGTCCCAGCACGCTTCAGTACCCACGGCACATGCGTAAGAGCCTCAGCAGGAAGGCCTCTCAGCGCCTCAAGCGGCTGCGAGCCTCAGGGGTTTGGGGTTTAACAGAGCATGTTTCCTCGCATGAACATGTTGACAACATGCCCTTCCACTAAGATGGCTATGAGAGTTGATGACCACAGTAACAAATGGTACACAATAGTCAAGACAGCTCTGTTTTGAAATTCCTGGGGAAACTCCACCGTCTTTTAATGTCATTTTTCCACCAACTGTGTGAAGTTCCCCATTTAAGGAGCCCTGGTGGCACCATGGTCAATTGTTTGACTGCTGACCAAAGGACAGGTGCTTCAAATTCCACCAGCCACCCCCAGGGAGAAAGACGAGGCGGTTTGCTTTGGTGAATATTTATCGAGCTCCTGTGAGGTGATTTTGCGCTCTCCTGTAGGTTCTCTGAGTCGGAATCAACCTGTCGGCAGTGGGGGTTGTTCATTTGTTTGATGTGCCCGCGGTGCTTCCAAGAAAGGCCGTGGTGGCTGCTCAGCAGGAGCCTCTCTGTTGGCCTTGTGTTCTCCTGCCAGGTAACGACGACTCCGACATTGACATCCAGGAGGACGAGGACTCGGACAGCGAGTTGGAAGAGAGGCACCTGTCCAAGCCGCGCACAGCCATGGAGGTGCTCATGCAAGGTACCTGACACCGTGACCCTAACCTCCCCCGGGCACCTCCCACAGCACCACGGCCAGGCTGGGTCAGGCTGCACAGTACCACCCAGTGTTTATCCTGCCCTACCCTTTCTCAGAGGAGGCCTAGTAGCATAACAGGCTGCTCACCCCAGTGTCTGTGGTTCAAACCCACCAGCTTTTCCTTGGATGAAAGACGAGACTTTATGCTCTGTAAGGATTTATCATCCTGGAAACTCACGGGGGCAGTTCGGCTCTGCCCTGTGGGCTCTCTCTGAGTGGGAACTGTGACTGGGTGGTGATGCGTTTGCTTGCTTCTCAAAGTGCTCAGTTCGATCTTTGCTGCTAACAACGACACTGAACTCCGATGAGCTGGTGCACATTTGTGGCAGCCAGGCACCTTTCTCCCAGAGGCCCCAGACGACCCCCAGTACGATCATAGTCACGTGAAAAGCATGAGCACCTGAGCCTTTAACAAGCTGTGGCCAAGGCTCAGGCAGCCACTTACGTGCAACGATGGACTCCTGTCCTCCTCTCCCACTACCCACCCTAGAGAGGGGTCATGCCATTGGCCTGGGCCTATGTCCTCAATTGTGAGTGAACACACCACACACACAAAATCAGGCATAGACTCAAAGATCATCTTAGCAGGGTTTTTTTTTCTAATCATTTTATTAGGGGCTCATACAATTCTTATCACAATCCATAGGTACATCAATTGTGTAAAGCGCATTTGTATATTCACTGCCCTCGTCATTCTCAAAACATTTCCTCTCCACTTAAGCCCTCGGCATTAGGTCCTCATTTTTCCCCTCCCTCCC